TAAAACCAATAACTAATAATTATTTGTAAAAAATTGAAATAAACACCCCCTTTAACTTTTAATTAATTATTTAAAAAATTAAAACAACTTCAAAAGTTTTTGGGAATGTTTGAAATTCCAGAATTCAAGGACCATCCTGTTATTTAAATATAATTAATTGTTAATAATTATTATTTATAATTTAAAATATTTAATTTATATAATTAAAAATCAATGACTAATAATTATTTGTAAAAAATTGAAATAAACACTTCTTTAACTTTTAATTAATTATTTAAAAACTTAAAACAACTTAAAAAAAAGAGTAATAAATACTTCTCAAAATATTGTGTTTGCCATAGTTAATAATTATTATTTATAATTTAAAATATTTAATTTATTTAATTAAAACCAATAACTAATAATTATTTGTAAAAAATTGAAATAAACACCCCCTTTAACTTTTAATTAATTATTTAAAAAATTAAAACAACTTCAAAAAAAGAGTAATAAATACTTCTCAAAATATTGTGTTTGCCATAGTATTACCCTTTGTAATAAAAAAATTATTTTAAATTTAAAGATTTCGAATTTAAATTTAAAAGAGTTATTTTTTATTATATAAATTATTATTTAACATAAAAAATAACAAACTAAAAAGATCTTTTTAAAAGTGGTCAAACAATTACATAATATGTTATTCACCTGATAATTGATATTGTAATATAATTGTTCAAAAAAAATTGATCTTATAATATAACCATATATGACTAATCACATGTTGAATTGTGCTCCTTTAATATTAAAATTTAATTTAATTGAACGTTTGATCTTGACCGGAAATTAAAATTTCCAAACAAATGAAGATATGGGTAACCCTCGGTAGTTTACTAGAATACTAATCATGCACGTAGCCTATCCTCGTTAAGAAAAGTAACTTGAAGAAAGTACACAGTTTGAATATATCAAGGGATCTAAATCTAATCTCCCACGGAGAACCAGCATGGATGAATATTGAAAATCAAAGGATCTTATCTTCTAAAGTTGTATTGAAAACTAGAGAGCACTGCTTCAATTAATTTTGCTGAATTTTCAAAGATCTTAAAAATCAAGGCATGGCAATGCATAATAGTCATTAATATAACCCACATGTTTGTAGCCAATCCTTTTCAAGATAAGGTAATTAATTTCTCAACCATAGGCTGGAGATGACATATCTGGAAAATGAACTAGTATTTCTGAAGGAAATTCTTGAACCAGTTAGCTGAGCGTTTTGGATATCTTTTTAATCCATCCTTGTAATCCACAAAGTTGATGCCAAACCTTTTGGTATAACCAGAGCTCCACTCAAAATTGTCCAACAACGACCACGCAAAGTAGCCTTTCACCTTAACACCATCCCTAGATGGCAGAAGAACACAAAAAGGGAAAAGAATAGGAAGTGAAATATTCAATATTCAATTTTTCATGAATTCAGTTTGGGAGGTATTGAAAAACACTTACTGAATGGCACTTTGAAGGAAACTTAGGTGTTTATGGTAGTAATGAATCCTCATGTAGTCAATAAGGGATTCCTTTAAAGATAATGTGGCATTATTCATTTGATCGATCCCTACAATGCAATTGAATGAATGTTCAGTGTAAAATTATTGTTCAACAAGAACTAAGTATGAAGAAAAATGAAAGCCTTTGCAAATTAGACCATTCTCAGTTATATAAATGAGTGGATCATTGTATTTGTCCTGAATGTAAAGTAACAGATTGCGGATTCCTTTTGGAAACACATTGAGCCAAGGCGAAGCTCCCTGTAATAATACCATTTCATGTCGAAGAAAATGTAGTTATCATGTCAGATTGATTCAGGTTGTTGGTACACATACCTTTGGACCAATTGGAATCCCGTTACGCTCATCTGCCGCAACAAAAAAAATCATTCCCCTCAGAACTACAGGCAGTTTGTTCATTGAAAACTCATAACTAGTTATTGTTGGAAAACTGAGTCCTTAATTACCTGAAATATTAGTGCGAGAATCTGTCATGTAGCTTGGTCTTGCTGCATTAGGTGTGGGGGCATAAGCTGCATAAAAGGCAGTATAGTAGTTCAATCCCAGGAAATCAAATGACCCTCTGATCATCTCAGATTGCGCTTTGGAGAATTTTGGTAATCGATTTCCAACTAAAGATTGCATGCTGTGCGGATATTCACCACGTGTTATTGGATCCAAGAACCTGCCAAAATCCCAACACAACACTTCAAATCATGCTAGTTTGGTCAGTTTATTTGAGTTTTTCCTCATTTTTATGTGCAAAAATTAGTACTCCTAGTTAATGTAAAGGTTTGAAGATCAAACCACTGATCTCAATTCCTAGTATAACACATACTTAACATAGAGATTCTTTTTTAAGTACTCACCAACCCATATTAAAATCAAGTTGTCGTTTGGCAGCATTTTTGTCACGAGTGGCATTTGAAAGTGGTACAAACCAAGGGGAGACCAAAGTGATCCCTATGACACCCTTTTGGATTGCCTGCATAGGTTCAAACTTAGGTTAATTATAAATATCAAATGCAAAGCCCTGCAAAATTATATTATAACTAATTATTATCATGGTCATATATGATATAACCTGATATTTCTGCTTATACAAATTCACCGCAGCTGCATGAGCAAGAAGTTGGTGGTGTGACACCACATATGGTTCTGTTGCTGAATCCCCACCACTGCAATCCATCTTTAGCCAACTTGAACAACGACCTGGTGCTGCCACCCCCATTGCATAGCCACCAATGCTGAAGCCCCCTGGTTCATTAAGTGTGATCCAATGCTTCACTCTATCCCCAAACGTCTCAAAGCATACATCAGCATAGTCTCGAAAATCATCACTAGAGGAACACATAATGGCTCACATTAAATTGTGACAAGTTAAACTGTTCAAGTGTCAGATGACTGTTTTGCCTAAAAGTTTAACTCACACTCAAACTTACATGATCATAGGACTCAAAAATCCACCATACTCATCTTCTAAAGTTTGGGGAAGATCAAAATGGAAGAGAGTGACAAAAGGCTCTATACCTGAAAGATGGCTATGAACATGATTATAATTCATATACCAGGAACTAATCATATGTTCATAAATGAATAATGAAAAATAGGATTGAATCATGACCATTGGATATGAGCTCGTTGATGAGATTGTTGTAGTACTTAATTCCTTCATTATTCACACCCCCATTTAGATGTCCTTCTGATGGGAAAAAAGAAAAAATGAAAAAACTGTCATTAATTAGTGATGGGGTACATGCTACATAATTAGTTGCATTAATCAAATTGTCCTTCTCCCGGTCTCACTAGGCAAAATTCTGGACCATGAGATGGAGAATCTGTAAGCATCAAGACCAATTTCTTTCATAATCCCAACATCTTCCTAGAACACAAATGAAAATTAGAAAGAAATCAACCGTTTTCAGTATGCCATAGCCAAAGTCACATGAGAAAAATCATATTTTCTTTCCATGCATGTACCTTATATCGATGATAAGAATCAATTGCTACATCTCCATTACTTCCATCTGATATCTTACCTGCCACTCTCCAAAAAAATAAAGTCAAAGGAGCTAGAAACCTAGAAATGATTCAAGAACAATTTCTTTAAAACATTATGAAAGATTCTATACTTCAAACAGTCCATCTTTTGAGTAAATAAAAGAAAGAAAAACGAGCAACAGACAGCAAATGGAAGGGAAGACAGAGCTGAATTTCACAGTGAGCCCCAATGGCAAAATT